CAAGGAGAGAGTTTACATGCTCCCAGACAAAATTAACTCACACTGAAAAGGCCTCTTTGCACATAAATGGCATCAACTAGAACAGCGTCTAGCAAATGGTTTAGGATAAGACAAAATAAACATGGATGCCAGTTTTACTAGTTCCTTGTGGAAAGAGAGAAAGGATGCAAGTGCAGTGAATTCTCCTTGCACTGTGGAGTGGCAGTGACAATTTCACTGCATTGCCTTCTGTATCCAATATTTCTTATTTCAAAATAACGGAAAAGCCCACAGAAACAAGCTTGTTCTTTGCATCTCTTGATTATGTGTGGACATACAGTGAACAAAATCAGGAAAAATAAGACCATAATTGCACAGGAGTGGCTTAAAATTGAAACAATAAAGTACAATGAACAAGACTAGCTAGGCTTGTGTAGATGGAAAAGGGCTGCTTCCTAATAGACTAAGACAAAGTTTTCCATAAGGTGGAAGTGTGTAAGTTGCACACATCTTCACAGGATGTTTAAAACGTAAGGAAAGAGGCTATGTAGCCACTTCTGGCTCAACTGCCAACAAAAGCCACAGGGCAACCCAACTGGTTTCAGCACCATTTTGGAAGCGGGAAGAGGCAAGGAGGAACAGCTTGCACCCCTTGCCGTCTTTCTTCTGCACGCTCAGTGCCCGCAGTTGGCTGGCACACAAGAAACGCCTCAGCCAGCAGGACCACATTGCCTTTTTGCATCAAGGAAGGAAACATCTGGTAAGCAGAATCTGTAAGAAGTCAGGGGGAGAAAATGGAATACAAAAGTCTTTCTTATACTAGATCCTCTACCTATTTGAAATATGAGCAGAAGAAGGAATACACCTTGTCTACACAACCCACAGCTCTGGGCAATCACCATTTGTCATGGAATTTAAGCCACAGAGGAAAGAACTTTATCTTGATACATGGGGTAAGAATTAAACTTATATATATGTGCAAAGATGTATTAAGAAATTATCCAACATAGCAGTCATGGGTCTCTGAATCATAAAGTAAGTTCATACACAAGTATGAAAAGTGAGCTTTTTTAGGCTATATATTTATTAGAAGCAGTATTAATGTATGAATCCACCTTGAAAGAAAATAAGTGTCCTTGAGATGTTAGATTCTATAAGCCAAATTGAATGTCTGCATCAATGGCTCTCCCTAAAAGTCATAATTAGGTCATTAAAATATATTTAGAAAAATAGCCTGTAAAATAAAGTTAAAAAATACTCACCTTCATTTTATTTCATAGGTCACTGTTATACCATCTAATAAGATAATTAAAAACATGCAAGCAGCTGGTACTGAGGCTAAACAGATTAATGTAATAGTCTGTAGTCATATGTGCTGGCAAGGGGTTCACCTCTTTGGCGAGGAGAAGGTCAGCTGCCCTTGGGAAGGGAGGAGAAAGACAGTATTTCCACTTTCCAGTGGCACTGCATTGCAGATACTGAAACTAAAGACCCACATCTATTTTCCTTTTCCTTTTGGTGAAGTCCAGCCCATTTGGACATCCAAAAAATGCTTTAACTATAACAGTAAAATAATACAGTAGAGCAGAGCTGAAGTATTTTCCGTAAATTATTGAAAGTTATTTTATGTCTAAATCCTTGTTCAAATGTTTCTAATAGTGAACTTCTAATTTTGATGACATGCTTCTAGGAAATAATTTTAATTATTTCTTATTAGTAAAGCTCCTTCCCAAGTACACAAAGAGTACTTCCATCAGAGCATAAGGACCAGCTGAGAATTCTCTGTGACCTGACAGGATGCATTCACAAACTCAAACAATATTTAGAAATAAATGCCAGTCACATGTGCTTTTCACTTATATTACTTACAAACTTTATGACCTAAAGGGAAATGCTCACTATCTGAACACATGCAGCACTACATCTGTGCTGTGATCAACACAAGCAAGAGTCACAAACTCTAAGGTGACACCTTCATATTAAAAATAAAACCATACAAATAGTTCTGGAGCATCTTAAATATATTAAAGAATAATGATATGTCATCCTTTATTAACACATACACTTGGAGTCTTGTACTGCATAATGTCAAACTGTCCTTTAAAACAGAAAATGTGGGAATCAAGCAACTTCTCCTGGGATTTATTTTTTATATTGTGGTAAAAACAATGTTTTTAAGAGCACTTTAATAACAAAACTTATTAATATTCAAATATTTTTTGGAGTAAGCTCTTCTAATTAAATTGTAAAGGCCTATTACTGACAAAATACTAAGCAACTTTTGTTTCAACAAAAATTTTCATTATAATTTTTCATGTATTAACCTTCTGCATACATATGGTATCTACCATGATTCAAAGATGCCTTTGCCTCTTTTAGGGCAAAAATTCATTAGCTGGTCTTTTTAAAAGATGATAGACTGCATTGGGTAAACAAGGCTATCATTAACTTTACCAAATTACTAAAACAATAATCCTTGGCAGTGTCCTAAAGTAGGTTAAAATTTCTAAAGTCTTTAAAGAAATAACAGCCATTTACCATCATTACCTTTCAAGATAGTTTAGGAGTCACTTTTTGTCTTTCATACAGTGTTAGATGTTCAGTTTTACTTAACCTGCAGTCCAGAACTATAACCATCAAAACAATATCCAACCCAACCATCAAATTTATAGCCAGTCTCACTAGATCATAGGAATTACTTGCCACTGAGAAACAAATACACATTTCACATCTCAAGCACTAGTACTAAATAACGATGATAGCTTGCCAACTATGAGAAGTCAGAGGTTACTTTTTTCTATATATGTATACATACACACCTCCCTGAACTACATACACACATATGTATATTTTCTACTATTTTGCCTTTAATTATATCAATAATATTTTGGCAATGAAATATGGGATCCCTCTTAAAAGGCTATTTACTTCAGTTTTCTAAGTCGGGCTGCAATTCTCTTTGACAGAATATGAGTATTATTCAGTAGGACCTGTAGCCAACATAATATTTATTATATGCACTTTGGACTAAGGAATATATAGATACAAAGACCAGCTTTAACCTCCGCTTAATCTGTGGAGCATTAAAGAGTCACTAAAGCATTAGGCTGATTCAAGTAGAAGGTACCATGCTCTGTCCTCCCACTGGTTACATTCCCTGCACTGGCACTGATACCATGGGAAGCTTTGGCAGGAGGAAGTCATCAGAAAGCTCTCCCACGGAAGAATGAACAGGTTGGGCAGGGTTAGCTCCCTGGACTAGCTCCCTGAGAGATGAGTGCTACTGCCTGCGTGGAGCAGGGGTGACAAGAAGGGCTCAGAGCCCAGCTCCACAGCTCACACTCTCATGGAACCAGAGTCTAGCTAATGCTGGCTGCTTCTTCTTTAAGTGTTGCCACTGGACAGGTACAACAGCCGGTGCTCTTAAGCTGATGATTTTCAGGAATAAGTTGGCTGTCTTTAATGGCAGAGAGAGCTCTCAACTTTCTTTTGCTGGTCTGGTTAAATTCTATCTTGCCTATTTTTGAGAGACTGGTTTGTGGTCCCTATTTACATATGCTTCTTACCTAATAAGCATGAAGACTATCCTGGCTGGTATTTTTTGGCCCTTCTTTTAACTTAGACAGTATGTTGCATGCAGAAAACTTGAATTTGACAAGAAAAAGAGTCATGCAGAACCCTAAAATGGATCTTCTAATATATTTTATCAAAGTGAATATGCTAACTACCCTAGAAGAGTTTTACCTCATCACAAAGTAGGTCTCATTAGAGTTGACTTATTAGGATAAATAAAATTGTGAAGATACCTAAATCAACCCACCCATCCCTGCAGACACACCCTTTGTTCCAACCTTGCTCTTAGTCCAGAAACTTCCTCTGGGTGTTTGAATCGCAGCCAGCTCTTTGCTGTTCCCTCTAGGTCCTTACAAAACGTCATTTTTTTCAACATCCTCAAGACCAGGCTGCTTGCTCCTTGCTCTCCTTGGCAATGGCTCTGTCTCCAGTCTGTAACAGGTTCTCCAGCACTGTGTCCCTCCCTGCCACCCCACGCCCGAGGCTCCCTGTGACCAGCACAGCTCACTGCCTGCACCACGGTGCAACATTCCACACCCAGCCGGCTGCAACCAGGACAAGGTGAGCAGGCAGGTTCCTCCTGCCTGACTGCACCTCTTTGAAGTAGAGATTCCAGCAGGGCACAAACCAAAAATGAAAAAAATGTCAAGCAACAGAGTCCACTAAATGATTCAAAAATAATCATGTGGTAAGCATGTTTTGTTTTACCATACTTAAACATGAAAATCAAATGCAACCCTTCTGGTTAGCACAAATCATACTATTAATTTACTAGTCACAAGGAAGAAGATTTTTTTGTAGCAGAGTCAGTATTTTGCAGGGTGAAAGATGAAAGTATACACCTGCTGATTAGCTTTCTGTGCTTTCAAGCACAAGACACCCTCTGGTATGTACCCAAGCAAGATTCAAACTCAATGACATTGCTGAAAAAAAGTTTCTTTAACTGGTGTTTACTGCCGACAAAATTGAATTATTATTTTCCTGTCAATCTCAAATTTAACTAATCTTGGCTTTGGTTTTTGACATGAAATAATGAGGCAATAGAATTTCACGTGGTCCATAAATCCAGTTACTTTGGAGAAGATCAGAAAGGTGATCACTGTTGAGTTGAATATTTCAACATTTAGCTTAGTTGCCGTGAGTTTACTTTATTGAATAATTTGGAGGGAAAAAACCCACAAAAAACAACCTTAAAATGTTTAGGCTTTCAAATATATTGTACTTTAATCAGTTAAGCGTTTTGAACAACTTTTGAAAAAACCCAATAATCTAGAAACCAAATTTTCACATTAGTACTTAATTAAACATTTCGTGTTCTTTCGTTCACTGTTTCAGTTTAGATTCCACAATCCTCCTAAAGTATAGGACCTATTATTTTGCATTAAATAGATTATGCTTATTATAATCAACCTTTCAAAATTAGAAAATAAATGTAAAAAATTACCAACCTGTAAGAAATAAAAGTTCCATCTGAATCTGAGGTGGAGGGTGTGCTCCCGTTTTCATTTGATCCTCCTAATACAAAAATAAGAGAAAACACCTTTGTTGTAAGACAAACTCTGATATGAACACAATATGGATGAGAATTGCAACTGATTTTACCATCTATGGTAACTTCAGTCACAATAAAACTAACCAAAAACTTACACAGACAAATATCAACTTTACCTCTCCAAATTCTTACAGCCATCTTAACTAGCCTCCAAGTTCAAACTGGAATCTGAATCCTGAAAAATCTGATATTTAATTTCACTTAAAGTTTTGATTGAGGCCCTTCTCAAATTATTAAACTCAATTTAACTAGTATAGGGTTACAGAAGTGTACCATGTAAGTAGAAGAGCTTGATTTTACCAACACTGAGTAAAAAAAAGTAAAAGTTCAACTATTTTGTGAAAAATTCTGGGCTTACTTTGTGATGGCAGGGTTTTTTTTTTTGGTCATAGCATAAGTTTCAAACTTCCTTGAAAGTACCTATTAAGACATCTGCCAAACATCTTATTTTACATTCTGTGGGCTGGCGATACATAGAAAGAACAGTGATGCTGCTAGAAATCAAGCATTACAAGAAAATTTTCCTTCTATAACTTATGTCCATTGCAAGACTGCTAAAAGCATTTTTCAATGCAAATTTATTCTTGTCCTGTTTTATACTGTTTATTCTTGCATAAACTTCCTTGAATGTACCTATTAAGACATCTGCCAAACATCTTATTTTACATTCTGTGGGCTGGCGATACATAGAAAGAACAGTGATGCTGCTAGAAATCAAGCATTACAAGAAAATTTTCCTTCTATAACTTATGTCCATTGCAAGACTGCTAAAAGCTAGGAGTAATGTATTTTTCAATGCAAATTTATTCCTGTCCTGTTTTATACTGTTTATTCTTGCACCGTCATTTAGCATGATAATTCTTCTATGTCCCTATGTGCCCCTTTAGTTAATTCACAGGTAGCACTGCACAACTCTGTTCTCTGTTCTTCTGACTGAAATCAAGTTCTTGCAGTCTTTTTTTCTAAATGAGGCTTCATATTCCCTATGTTCTTTAACTCAGTCCTTCTTGCACATGGAAAAGGAGGGACAGGAGCTGTAGACAGCATACTAAAAGTTCAGAATTGGTAATTTGGACAGTGGTTTTCTTCACTATCAAACAAATCTTGCTCGATACAGATGACATTTGTACCACTCCATCCTGCAGTTTCACAGCCATCCTTAACCAAACATGCCTGCACATTTACTCTCAATTTTTTGTTCATGAAGTTTTCAGTTTACACGAAAAATTCTTGCTAGTGCAATACTGTAGTTCACACAATGTCATGCTGTTTGCAGTCCTCTTTTCTTCAGAAAGGACCAGTCCTGCCTGAATACTCTATTTGCACTGGCACCAGATATTACCTTCCAATAACTTTACTTAATATAAGTCTATCAGCTCTCATTCTGTGTCAAGACAACAAATGAAAATATTGAATAAGACTGGTTCAACCCCAAGCTCCACTAAAAAGAATTCTTTCATTAAAATTTGCATTTCTCTATTCATCTCAGAATTACTACATTTCACTAATCCTTTCTATTTCACAGCATCTCCTGTGGCACTGCATCAGATGGTTTACTGAGATCCAGACAGATTGAATGTATTTCCTGAACATATAGTTTGAAAAGCAAGCAGGTTAGCTGGCCAAAATAACCCATTTAACAAAAATTCTGCAATAAAAGTTATGCCATTTGCTTCACTTTTCTCTCTTATTTCTTTCTTAAAAATCTTTTTAGAGCCCTGCACAGATAATGGTTAGTCCATGCAGGTGCTTTGCTATCACTTTTCTTTCCCCTGTTATTCTAAGTACAGGTATAATATTTCCATTCATCAGCCATGAACTAAAGTACTAAAAATTGTTCCATGCAGCAGCATTTGTCAATATTCTTGAAGTCTGCAAGTCAGATTTTTAGCTCTGCTAATTTACAGTATCTACCCAACACTCCCATCTATTTTATTGATTTATTTTCAGGCCTTTGCATGAAATTCTATTTTTACTGAAAATTAAATGTTTTCCTTTTCAGACCAGAGCTGGATTACATTTAGTATCATTTGTCCATTCACACTGCAGAATGGTTCTAGTTCTCTTTCTTAGCAAGCTCCTTTACATAGTCAAGTAATATTTTCCTGTATATTTAAATTCTCATCTTATGAAATGACTCAACTTAATTTTTGCTGATTGTCTCTATAAACCCACACTTTCTGATATCCAGGATGTGGCCTTCCTTGCAGATGAAGCTGCTTTTCTGTTTCTTTGAAGATCTTTGCTCATTCCAGACATTCCTTAAAAAATACCTAAACATTCACCTTGGTATAAAACTTCCAAGTGTTTCTTTTCTCATCTAATTTGGAATGCAGGGTTTTTTATTAACTTTTGCACCTCTGTCTAAAATAAATCCCAAACCTCTACTACATCTTAGTCTAAAATCACTCAGTCCAGTTGATTTCACTAATTAGCTCTCTCCATTTATTTTGAAAATGGAAATCCTACTTAATCAATCTGCTTTTTGTTTACTAAATTTAACTAAATTAACAACACCAGATATTTCATCCAGAAGCCGACCCTCCCATTATTAATAACCATCTGTTCATTTTTTTCCCCCTCATATCTTGTAAAATAGTCTCCCATATTGGGACAATTTTCAGTAATACACTTTTTCATATATTACCCATCTCCACATCTGATCCTGAGCATTCAGAGAAATGACTGAACTATGCTCAGTCTCTGTTAAAGCCATATCGCCAGGTGCAGTGATACTGGGCAAGTGCTACAGGGACACAGCACATCAAAATGGGTCCTGAATGCACTACTGCACTTCATTCACACTTAAAGTAAGCATTCACCTACCACTAGTTAGATTGAAAAAAAATTCACCTAATTCACAATGCTAAGCTGATATACTGAAAAAGTATGTCTTTTCAAGAATAGCAACATAATCTTCCAACTTTCTGTAGAATGAACTTTAAGAGCATCTAAAAAAATGCATGGACTTCACCATCTTTCAACAAAACCATTTGTCCTGCTTGAAGAGTGAACAGGACTTTTCAAAGAAAACAAAGATAATAGTTGCTCTTTCACCAGGATCCCCACAGTTGGTAGGATCCTGGGTCTGCTGTATCCACTGAGCTGTTCTTCACAAACTACTCTAAGTCTAGCTTGCTTTATTCTGAAGACAATAATTTCCTGCGTTGATATGCAATGATAGCCAAAATACCTTCACATTTTTAATTGTACATCCATTGTTAATAAATCTCATAACCATACAAGTTACTGTTTGGGCACTTTTTTTGTGAGCTGCTTTTGCTGCTTCATCATATCATTAGCAGCAGCTACCAAAAATGGATAGGGCTAAGTGTATTAAGCTCTCAAACCCAGGATATAGTGGAACAGACCCTTCTGTGATTGCTCCCTTGCTCTATCACCTTTAAGATGGGTATGTCTGTTTTGACACCTTGAAAGATTACTAAGACATTCATTGAAAGTGATAAAAATCTTAAAGCAAAGAGCAAAAGATTCATTTTCTTAACAGAAGACTCCCTAAATTTTACCTAGTTTTATCCAAAAGGCTTTTTAGCAAATCCTATTAAGTTTCCATAGTTAGTGATAAAGAGGACAAATAAGACTGCTGCTTCACTAACTAATGATGTCAAGCTGTGGGAATCCATGCCCTGGATCACATCTCCTCAGGAAAGTTCCAGTTACTCCTCCTGAAAAATATGGTGAACTCTCAGTAGAACAGATATACTACTTCTGTCTTCATTGATAATGACCCAAATTTCTGGTAAAATTTGGATGTATACTATGTAGCTATGAATATAAGATTTATGATGCTAGTAACAAATATCGTGGTCCCCTTTAAAAAATCGATTCAGTATTACGCTAATCTTTAATTTTCTTCTGAAACTCAATTATCGGAAGAAGGGTTTTGCTAAAGAGACAGAGGATGCTCTAGTAACCCTACCACAGACCTTGTGAAAAGCTTTCCTAACTTCAAACGCACAAGCTACGGGAAAAAAGGTAGAATAAATCCTGTCACACTTTCAGGGAAAAGAGAAAGGAAACGAGCAATACTGTAGCAAGCACCTGTATCAAAGTAAGTATGGCTTTCAGCACTAGAGCAGTTACTGGCTTTATTACAATAATAAAATAAGGCTGTATCCTTCCAAAGAGACAGAATTACCTGGATTGCTCCTTCTTTAACTGTAGCAACTCCCTCACCTAAGAATGAGAACTTTCTCCTGAAATTGCCTCACTTCAGTGAAGTCTGTTCTTGTGCACAGACACCAAGGGCTAAAGGGAGCTGGGACTTGGGCAGCTGGGACCTGACACTGCCAGACACAGCTGAAGGCTGTTCCAAGAGAAGTTGTGTAACTCAAAATTGACACTTTCCCCAACTAATAAAAAAGAACATTTCAAATTGTAGCTTCTTTAGACTCCTGAGATGCATGGAGAAGGATTTGCAAACTGTACACTTGCTAGGGTACTAGATTCACCCAGAACACATGGGCTTGTCACTTGCAGTAACTGTTATCTTGTCAAGGACATATTTGAGATTATAGGCATAGCATAAAATTGGAGAGCCCAGAATAAGGAAGATGCCTTCACTTCCTGAATATTATCTGAAAACTATGTGAAGAAATTTTAACAAGAAACCTGATTGAAACTTTCACACTATTTTTTTGTATTTTTATTTTTAACAGCCTATTACACTGAAAGAATCACAGAACTATTTAGGATGAAAAAGATTTGTAAAATCATCAAGGCCTAACCCTAACCCAGCATTGCCAAGTTCAGCATTAAACCAAGTCCCCACAGATGCCACATCTTTAAAAAAACAGATGTATTTTAAATACCTCCAGGGATGGTGACTCAGCTGACAGGGTACTTTTTCACAGAAGAGCTTTTTCAAGGTGCAGCGCACAGTTTCCACTTCAGGTAATAGGAAGAAACTGGACAGCATTTCAAAGCCCCAATTCGCAGGTGG